AGATTGTAACAGGTCACTTTTTACCCCACCAGAAAGTAAATATTCACTTGCAATGAAAAACAAATCATTACCCAGTTCTCATTGTTGCAACCATGGATTACGTGGGGAGCAGGAGACTGACAAAGTAAATGGTGTCAAATCAACCTCAGAAAAAGGCAGAAAACAAAACTGAAGGTTACATGCAGATTCCATTACATATACAATCACAGACACTGAAGTCAGCTTTGACAGTGGCTGCTCAGTGATCTAGAGCTTTGCCCTGATACTGAAAGCTGCCATACACATTTTGATTAAATCTGTGGACATTACATGTGCCATTTTGTTTTTGCATTTAAAATCGTACCAGAAATGTCACATGTAATAAAACACTGCAAATGAAGGTTTCATAAAAAGCAGTGCAAGATATTAAATCACCTCATACACACACATTGAACATCTTGTGAATAAACATTCTGTGCAGCATTCTCATTCAAGAAAATATACTTGCAAATAAAATTTCTAATTAATGTGTGTACACGCACACAGATATAGTTCACTCTCATTTTCCACCCCTGTGCAATCAGTCTTACTTGCTGCTTTGGTCTGTAAGACACCCAGAGATGAACAAGCTTGTTTACACAAAATAGAACAGCAGGACTGCACCGGCATGCATCATGAACACAAATATCATGAAAGTATTTGGCAACTATGCAGCTTTGGTCACTGGAAAAGAAAAGACTAAAAAGTACATTGAACTCTAGTTGTGTACAGGTGACATGCTTGACTTGATTTAGTCCCGTTTTTTGGAAGATTTCACTGGAATACAAGATAAACTCAAAGTAAAAAGGCAAACCATTACAGCCTCTTAAAACCCTGAAAAGTTGTGTATGATGGCACATCTGCAGAACACCAACGAACACCCTTTGAAAGGCACAGTTCAAAGACGTTTGGCATAGTTGTTGCATAGAACATGGTCTCGAACATCTCCCCAGCCTCCGTTCTTCACGTGTACCTTGTGCTCCACTGCTTCTGCACCACTTAAGACAAGAGACTGAGGAAAGAGGTTGTCCTTCACCATTTGAAGCCCCTCCTCTACCTTCTGTGCAGCCCATTCTGGCCTGCAGTTCTTCTGCTGGTGAAGACCACAGTCTCCTGTGTGGAGAACCCTGGAGCCCTGTGTTACCAGCACTTTGAGCGGCTTTGATATGCAGGTTCCTGAGAGGTGCTGCAGAGTCCAGTCCCAGTTGTAATCGTCATAGGTACAGAAATCGTTGCTGCAGCCCATCAGCTTGTAGTATACCTCCCTTGGCATGGCCATGCCTATGTTGTGTTTAGTGGACAGCCAACCAGTGGTCAACACCTTATTGGACAGCCTGGGAAAATCAGTCAGGGCGTTGTGGTTACCCAAAGCCAGCATGTCACAGTCAGGGCAGGTGTTCTTCCTGAACTTTATCATTAATTTATAGAAATGAAAAAAGTCAGGAAAGATGTAGTTGTCCTCCTCCAGAAAGACTACAAAGCCACTGTAGCCCTGCATGACATGCACTCTCTCCCACACAAAGTGCAATTTCCACCACCAGTGGTGTTTGGTTTGAGTGATGAAGGGTTCCCTGTAGTGCCCATAGGAGTC